TTCTTTCTTTCTTTCTTTCTTTCTTTCTTTCTTTCTTTCTTTCTTTCTTTCTTTCTTTCATTTCCTATGCTCATTGCACACTGAGCTTTGTATGGTCCACACAACTTGTAGCCAAGGTTGACCTTGAGTCTCCTGCCTCTACCTCTGGAGTGCTGGCTGGGATTATAGGTGTATGCAGCCCCGGCTGTGTCAGAGAGAGAGAAAGAGAGAGAGAACTCAAGGACTATGGCATAAGTATGGAGGTCAAAGGAGCCAGCTCATTTCTGAGCTTTTAGACAAGATCTGAAGCAAATCCATGGGCAGGAGAGCAGAAAGCTGGCTACTTTCCCAGCTTCCCATCCTACAACCTCAGATAAAACTTGCCTCAGGGCAACCAGACCTCGTCAGCGTCTGTTCCCTGGAAGGAACTTATCTCTTATCTAGGGCTGCTGAGCTTGGGCTGGTGACCCTGTACTCTGGAAACAGGAATGTCATCTTGTCAAGTGTATCTGTAGTCCACATTGTAAATCAGCAAGAAGCCGCCCACTGCCCTGAGCACCAAGGACTGCCTCTTGTCAAGCCAGTGCGGTAGGAGCCATTAGCCCTGTTCTGAGGAGGGGGAAACTGAGGTCCCTGTGCTCTTAACGAGGAGGAGCTGCTGCGTAGTAGGTGCTCTGTAACTGTGTCTGGAGACATAACTACTTCACTGATTTAATCCTTTTTACACTTATTTTATTATGCACGTGTATACTAGCTGTCAGAGGACAGCTGCTCCCGTCACTGCTCTCCTTCCACCGTGTGGGTGTGAAAGCGAATCTCACATTTCCCAGCTCGGTGGAGGGTACCTTTTCCTGCTGAGCCATCTCACCAGCCCTTGTTTTTGAGTCATGGCTAAATGTAGCCCAGGCTGGCCTCGAATTCATAGTGTAGCCAAGGATGGCCTTGAACTGGTCTCTACACCGTAAGTGTGGGGATCACAGGCATACAGGACATCCGTGGTTTCTGTGGTGCTGGTAATTAAACCCAGGGCCTCTGTGTTAGACAAACACTCGGCCAACTGGGCCACATCTCCGGCCAAGGCTTTTTAGTTCCAGCAACTGCTTTGGGGCAGAAATGCTGGTGGCAAGACAGCTTCATTTTGTAGAAGCGGGAAGTGGCGTCAGAGGAGAAAACACATCTTTGGGTCCACCACTGCCCTAAGGACTGGCTGAGTTTGCCAGCTGAGTGGGATTCAGACTAGTTGCCCCTAGATCTCTGTTGCTCTGAGGCATGGCCAGGCTGACACTAATGTCCCTCTGGGCAGGTGACTGTCCCTAACGATCTAGTTGATTGTAGAATGGAGTGAGCAGGGAATCTTTTCTTTCCCTAGACCATGCTCCCAGGAGCCAAGGATGAGTGCAGCAGGCAAGGGCTTCAAGAATCTTTGTAAGTCAGGCTCCTTGCTGGAAAGGGTCTCCCAGAAAAGTAGGGGGACCCCAAAGAAGACATCAGAACAATGCACCCACTTCCCATTGCTGCCGAAGTGACTTCACACAGAGTTAGTGCCGGTGAAACAAAAACCCTGGAGCTTAGAAGCTGGGCTTGGAGAGCCCAAGATGGTGGCAGTGGTAGCCTGGGACCTCAGCACTGGAGAGGTGGAGGCAGAAGGATTAGGAGTTCAAGGCCACACTGGGGTAACTAGTGAGTTTGAGCCCAGTTGTTTTAGATGCTGTAAGAAAAGAGATGGGGGAGGGGAAGAGAAAGAGGAAAAACGGCTCAGCTGATATTACTGAAAGACCTGGGTTCTGATGGTGAAATGTGTATTTGTAATTTGCTGGCGGCAGACACACGTGGACGCCTGGAGCTCCCTGTCCTGCCAGTCTAGTAGAATGACTAGCCTCAGGCTCAGTAGAAGATCATGCCTCAAGAAGTAACATGGGGCCTGGTGAAGGTGGCGCACTCCTGTGATCCCAGCGTTCTGGAGGCAGAGGCAGGCCGGTCTCTGTGAGTCTGAGGCCAGCCTGGGCTTGATAGTGAGATCTCTGTCTCTCTCACTCAGAGAGAGAGAGAGAGAGAGAGAGAGAGAGAGAGAGAGAAAGAAAGAAAGAAAGAAAGAAAGAAAGAAAGAAAGAAAGGGGAAAAAAGTAAGGTAGTTGGGTCAATGAGACCTGAATTCTATCCCTGGGATTCAAATGGCTGAAAAGAACCAGTTTTATCAAGTTGTCCGGACTTTCACATAGGTACACTGGTGCACACACACACTATAAATGTAATTTTGCAGGAATTAAAAAGCTAAGGCGAGGCAGTTGAGAAAGTCACGTGGCATCAGGTACTGGCTTCCACACATAGGTGCACACATGTAGAGCGCACCCATACGAACATGTACACACCCAATGGACACCTACACACACACACATGCAAGTTAGGAACTGGGGACTGTGTCCAGCTAGAGTACGGCAGAAGGACGTCTTTCCTCATCGTCCAGCCTGCACAGGCAGCCCACCTCCAAGGCTGAGGGTCCAGCATCACAGAGGCGGCCTCTCTCACGCCCTCTACCTGCCCTGCCTTTTAGAAGGTGGGTCAGTAATACGTTCCATAGATTGGGGTCAGAGACCTGATGTTACGATGAGAAAACAAACTAGGAAGTCTGAGGCTTTGCCAGACAACAGTGGTCCAGAACCTAGAATGGCCTGGGGTTCCTCTGCTTCTCCCGGCGGTTGGAGGGAAAGTCTCCGGCTTCCTTCTTTGCTGGAGCAGGGGGCCTGCCGTGGGTGATCAGGGTGGGCGGGGGAGTAGGCGGGGGCGACCGCGGGCCGCCTACTCGAGGCTTGGCCCGCCTCCTGCTCTCCCTAAGCTGCTGCCTTGCGGGACGGTCTCACTTCCAGTCCGGGTGTCCCGGCGTTAGGGCCGCCCCGCCGAGATGACTTCCCTGGGCCTGGTGATGGAGAGCGGCCAGGTGCTCCCGGCCTTTCTGCTCTGCGGCACACTGCTGGTCATCAAGATGTACGTGGTGGGTGTCATCACAGGCCACACGAGGCTTCGGAAGAAGGTACGCGCTCTGCTGGGGGTGGCCGGGGGTGGGTGGTCCTGCAAGAAGGTCTGGGACCTGAAAAATGTGGTCGAGGTGTTCGCCGGCGTGCAGAGGGAGCCGCTTCGGAGCTGCCGTCGTCCAAGCCCTTCTGGATGCTGGCTTGGTCTTCAGCTCCTGAACCGGCTGGTATGAACGGACTTGGGGTTCCCTCGCTCAGGTCCAGCCGAAGGCCCGCCAAGTCTGACTTGGAGAGGACTCCTGAGGTTCCCCCTCAGGCAGGGAGATTTTATATCTGGGTGGAGTGGGGACCGGCAAAACAGGAGCCTAAGGAGTCTTTCCGTGGAAATTCCCACTCCCCCTGGATGCCGCATACATTCATGGTAGCCTAAAGTCTGGTCCTAGCTAGAGGGGTCACAGACAACATTCTCTGGTCTCTGTCCCGGCTAGGAAACGGCAGTAAAAGAGCCCTCACGGAGCTGGTGGGAGTGGCCAGGACTCCTGGACCCATTCCTCTGTCTTGCGTGGACCCTTGGAAGCTGCTAGAAAGCAGAGCCACGGGAAGTGGGGGAGGACGCGGGAGGGGGGCGTCTGTTGCTTACAGAGTGCGGGTGGGATTCTCGCCCTTTAGCCAGGTTCATCCCTTGGGGCGGGAATAAAGGCAAGGCCGCCACTTGCTGACGGCCTCTGCTTCTGCTTTGGTCTGTCCTGGGACACAGATGCCAGGGACAGATAACTACATCCTGTCCTTGTCCCTTGTGCGGGGGTGGGATGGGGTGGGGGTGGGGGGCAAAGCTGAGCGCTAAATTACCACCAGAGCCTGGGGAAGGCAGTGGAGTTATTTCCCTTGGATTATCCGGTGAGAAGCCAGGGCTGAGGAGGTAGCTGCTTCCCATGGCTCCTTCCACCCCCCTTTGAAGCCTCTCTTGCCCACGATGGGTGATGCTGGGCTGAGGGAAGCCTCGCCTGCTTTGGGTCCTGGGGCTCCTCACTTTCTGCCAGGAGGACCAGGGGTTCACCCTGCATGAAGAGAGTGGGAGTAGGCTCAGGGTCCTTTCCCCCACCAGCCTGGAGGGCTCAGCATCCGCATCTGTGAACCTGGGGTGGAGGACACGCCATCCCCGCTGGTCCTTAAGACTGGTTCCCACTGTGTGGAGGCTGCTGTGAGCAGCAGCAGCCAGGGGTCCTTTCTGGAAGGACATGCTGAATGGCCCTTGAGCACCAGCGGTGGCTCCTCATATCTCACTACAAGGTCGCCATGGGTGGCAAAACTGGGCCCTCAGAGCTGGCCAGCAGGGAGGAATTCTGGGAGGGAGACCCTAGCCTCATGGTGTTATTTCACGCTTTCCTCAGGCAGGGCGGGGGCCATCCGCCTCCCCCCACCTCGCAGTTCAGACAGGCTGACTCAGATGTCACCAGAGCCGATTTGGTGTGTGTGTGTGGGGGGGCTTTGTTTGCGTGGGCTGCAGCGAGGGGCTTAACTCCAGAGGCTCTGGAGTTCCTCTGCTAGCTTTTACTTAGCTGTTTCTTTGTTTGTTTTAATCTTTTGAGACAGGGTTTTACTATGAAGCCCAGGCTGCCCTCGAACTCATGTACCTCTGCCTCCAGAGTGCTGGGGTTAAAGGTGTGTGCCACCACCCTCTGCCACTTACCTTATTTTAATGTACTTTTTTGAGGAGCCTAGGGAGGAACGCCAGGGAACCTAGGGTTTGCATGCTAGGCAAACCTAGCCCCTCCTGGGTGCATTCTCGGCTAGCTAGTCACACTGAGCCCGTTCTGGTGGTCTCCTAACCTGCGAGCCCAAGAGATGGGCTGGAGGGTGCTCTCACAGAGATGAGGTTCAGGAAGCGGGTTGGATGGTCTGCAGGCTGCCCGGCCCTCCTCCTCAGCATGGTGATCCCCAGCCAATGTGTTCCAGGCTTTTGCCAATCCCGAGGACGCCCTGAAACGTGGAGGCCTCCAGTACTTCAGGAGTGACCCGGATGTGGAGCGTTGCCTCAGGTGAGTACCTGTGAGTGTCTGGGGCTTGCCCACAAACCTTCCTGGTCCGTGTACTTGCAGAGCTTCTGAATTGGGGACTTGAGAGACAGCTGTTGTCTCTGGGCCTGGTTTCCTCTCAGACTGGTGTAGTTCACTCATTACATTTGTCTTGGAAAAGAAAATTCTCATCATCTAGAATTACAAAGTTGGTTCAAGGTTGATGGTGCATGTCTAAAATCCCACCCCTTGGGAGGTGGAACCAGGACCCACGACCAGAGTTCCAGGGTTTCTTTGTGTAGTTCTAGCCGTCCTGGAACTCATCTTGTAGGCCAGGCTGGCCTTGAACTCAGAGATTTCTTCCATCTTTGCCTCCCAAGTACTGGGATTTAAAGACGTACACCACCATGCCTATCTTGTAAAAAATATTTTTTTCTTTTTTCGAGATAGGGTTTCTCCACCTGCCTCTGCCTCTCCGAATGCTGGGATTAAAGGCATGTGCCACCATTCCCGCTATAGAAGTCATTTTTTGTTTGTTTTTTTCAAGACAGGGTTTCTCTGTGTAGCCCTGGCTGTTCTGGAACTGGTCTAGCCTCAAAATCAGAGATCTGCTTTCCTCTGCCTCTTCGAGTGCTGGGATTAAAGGTTGTGCCACCACCCAGCTGTGAAAAATCTTTTTTTTTAACGATTTTATTTATTAATGCTCCATTTGCATGTACACCTGCATGCCAGAAGAGGTCAGTAAAGGGTATAAATGGTTGTGAGCCACTGTGTGGTTGTCAGGATTTGAACTCAGGAGCTCTGGAAGAACAGGCTTTGCTCTTAACAGTTGAGCCATCTCTCCAGCCCTAAAATTTTTTTAAAATTTCTTTTTAAAAATATTTATTTATTATTTATACAGTGTTCTGCCTGCATGTGTGCCTGCAGGCCAGAAGAGGGCACCAGATCACATAGATGGCTGTAAGCCACCATGCTGGGAATTGAACTCAGGACCAGCCAGTGATCTTAACCTCTGACCTATCTCTCCAGCCCCTGTAAAAATCATTTTTTAAAGTGAGTCTTAAGGCTAGGTATTGTGGCACACACCCATGATGACAATGTTTTGGAGGCTGAGGCAGGAGAATTGCCTTGGGTTCTAGGCTGGTATGGGCCATAGGTTAAATTGCAGTCTCAAAAAGTGAAACAACAACAAAAAAAATCTGGGCTGTGTAAACTTCCCCAAGAGACTAACAGTCGATTTTTAGCAGCTGGCTCAGTGTTGGAGTTTGAGGACATTTCTTTGCTGTCTCATCAGTACTCCAGAATGGAGGGGGTACTGGGGTGACTGGGGCGAGGAATTGCAGCTGGGCTTGGTGAGATGTGAAACAAACGGCCACACATGCCTCCCGACACATCCTCTTGCATCACAGGCAGAAGCGGGTGGGGCCATATGACTTCCATGACAGAATTCCCCGCTGAAGACAAAGTTTGGGAGGGTTCCTCATGTTTTCCTTAGCCTTTGACAATAATGTACACACTTGTGGTTTCACAAAATGATAGCAGTGTGTCACAGGAAGTGAGACTCCAGGCAGTGCTGTCCTTTCCAAGAGCAACACTGTAGTCTGTGTGCGGCCACCTTCTGTGTGGCAGGCCCTGGACCGGGCACTGGCTGCTTTCAGGAATAAGCGGCCTTGCCCTACTGTGACCCCATGTTGGTGACTCCTGTTGTCTGGACGGTTCTGAGCCACTGACTGGGAGAGGGGGAGTGATCCGGGCAGTCACCCCAGCCAGCCGCCAATAACCCGGCGGTGTGATGTGTTGCCTCCTAAGGACGTGGCCTGCTTCTGGGAAGATGCCAGCATTTCCATCCATCCAGTAGGATTTTACTTCTTCTTTTCTTTTATGACTTTTGCTTTATATTTTCTTTACTTTATGCATAGTATAGTTTTTCCTGCCTGTAGATCTCTCCCTGCCTGGTTGGCATTCAGTCTAAGCATTTTCTGAACATTCCTACCTAATGATGCTGTTGATCCCCTCGGTGAAGCTTCATTTGGGACTCCCTAACTAGGTACTTGAGCTGGGGGGTGGGCACCCAGGAAGCTGGGGAACCCTCCTGACACCACAGAACAACACAGAAAGTTGAAAGCTGGAGGTGAAGCTAGGTTGGTAGAGAGTGCTTGCGTAAAATAAGAGTTGGAGGTTAGCCTGGGCTACATGAGATCCTGTCTTCTGAAAGGAAGGAAGGCAAAAAAGAAGGAAGGAAGCCAGTGGTAGGCACATCTGGGGAAGCAGAGGCAGGGGGATTTCTGTGAGTTTGATTCAGCCTGATCTACCCAGTGAGTTCCAAGCCAACCAAAGCTGTGCAGTGAGACCCTGCCTCAAAGAAGAAAGCGCCCTCTTCTGACCTCAGGCACTAGGCACATGTGTAGCACACACAGACATGCAGGCAAAGTACTCATACAGGTAATAAACTATAACTTTAAGTTAGTTTTGTTGTTGTTGTTTGAGACAGGGTCTCACTTTATAGCCCTAGCTGTCCTGGAACTCTGACCAGGCTGGCCTCCAGCTCAAAGGGATCCGCCTGTCTCTGCCTCCCAAGTGCTGGGATTAAAGGTTCGAGCCACTATACTGAGCCTAAAATAATTTTTCTTTAAGTTAAAAAGAAGACTGGAACTGAGGCCACCTGCCGTGGCCCTCACCTGGAATTCTGGCCCGAGGAGGCAGAAGCAATAGGAGTTCAAAGCCAGCCTTAGCTGCATGGTATAACAGCAGAGGCTTGTGTGGGCCACAGGAGACAGGAAGGGGGCTGGTGGAGAGCGAAGGAAGCCTTGAGTAATGTGTAAGGGGCAGATGAAGTCCCAAGTGAGTCTGTAGTTGACACAGGAACAGCAACAGCAAAGCCTAAGGCCTCTGATACAGGGGTGGCAAAGCCTTCTCCAGGAAGGACTCTGGGTGGCAAAGCCTTCCTCTGCGGGTTGGGTAAAAACTAGCAACTGCAGCCTGCTCTGGAGTGTTTACAGCTCTCCCACCGAGACCTCTGGGCCCCTCCCCCGCTCCGGACAGCATGAACCCCAGGTAGCCAGTGAGCAGCCTTTCTGTGCACGGGTCTGTTCATTCCTTCAATTCCCTCCATGTCCCAGTCAGGTCAAGTCCCAGGCGTGCTGGGCAGGTACCCAGCCAAGCGTTCCCCCCCAGAAACCCCGCCTGCGTTTGCAGATGGGAAGTGCTCTCACCTGCACCCATGCCTGTGAATTCTAACACAGGGCTGTTCCCCCAGGCACAACGCCCGGCCCAGGCTTCCTACTCTTTCTCACTATTGGGGCTTTTAGTCTGAGGAAAGCAGTTTGCCAGGAAACTGGGCCCCCGGGTGCCAACCTCCTAAGCTCCTCAGACAACATTGTGACCGTCCATTTATCAGCAGTGGACGCAAGCTCAGAGAGGGAGGAACACCTGCCTGTGGCCTCTGAGCTCCTTGGTGGCAGTCAGAGCTGATGGCCCCTGGTGGAATCCCGTTTCTCGCTAGGGTCGGTGAGGGCCTGTGGCAGGTTATCAGCTCAAGGAATGAGGAGCAATCATAGCAGTGTCTAAGCCAGGGCTAGTGATTGGGAGGTGGCCCTGTGGGGGAGGTGCTTTTCCCTGTTTTCTGGGTACCAACACAGCACGCAAACACCGGGAGAAGAGGGACGTTACCTATAGAGATAAAAGTGGTTTGCAAGGTCTGGGCCCAAGGCTGTGGCCCCATCACACAGGAGGGCTACTAAGCCTCAGGACCCCCTTGCCTCAGCCCCACCCCTTACCTGTTCCCCCCTGCACCCCCCTTTGGCACCAAGCAGCCTGCCCCTGCACCCTGCGCTCAGGTCCACGTGTACTGTGGGCGGTGAGCTACGGGAGCGGAAACAGGCTGTTGACTGCTGAGGCCTGGGGTCCACAGAGGTGGCTCCCCACCGCTGCCGTTTGCTGCCGTAAAACAGCCCTGTTCCAACACGTGGTTAGGGTGAGGGCCAGGCCTGATGCCACGGGACTGTGCAAGTCTCGGCTGGTGGGAACTGGCTTGGGGTGACTTTTGCCTCAGAACAGTGGCGGTTACTGGAGTGACACACTCTCTCTGTTTCTGCTACGTGACTCCCTCCATGCCTCTGGATACTGGGGCAGGGGAGGGCAGGGGAGCTTTATTTTGTGTTTTCAACATCCTGATTTCCCCATTCCTCCCTGCCTCTGGCACCACCGTGGCTTTGTTGGGGCCCCTTTGTGGTTTCAGACGAGGGAGGGAGGCCCTGGGTCAGCTCCCAGCCACCTCTCTCACGAGGGTCACAAATCAAGGGTGTGTGTTTTCTCTGCAAGGCTACATCCCCAGCCAGGGGCCTGCCTCTCAGAGGAGGGACCACTCCTACCCGTGTAGTGTCCCAAACTTCCCTACCTGCTCTTCAGGTTTGGTCGCACTTGTTCTCAATGTGGTTTTGTGGTTTTGTTGTTGAGATAGATTCTCATGTAGCCTAGGCTGGCCTCTAACTCTTTATGTAGCTGAGGAGAACCGTGAACTTCCAGGAACCTCCTGTCCCTACCTCTCAAGGGCTGGAATTACAGGAACTTGTCCCCACCCCCGGTTCTAGTTGCCTCTGGGGACTGAACCCAGGGACTGAATCGCTAGCCAAGTGTTATACTAGCTAGGCCGTATTTCTAGCCTTTTAAAAATCATTTATCTTTATGTATATGGGTGTTTTACATGGATGTTTGTGTGTGCAGCACATACCTTCAGGCCAGAAGAGGGTGTCAGATCCCCTGGAACTGGCATTACAGACAGGTGTGAGCCACCACGGGGGCGCTTGAAAGGAGCTGGGGTCCTCCGAAAGAGCAGTCAGTGCTCCCAGTCGCTGAGCCATCTCCAGCTTTGCTTTTACATTTGGGACAGGGCCTTATGTAATCCAGGGTAACTTCAAAGCTCCTGTGTAGGCGAGCTTGGCTTTGAACTCCTGATTCACAGTAATGCTCCTGCCTCAGCCTTCCAAGTGCTCAGAATACAGATGCAAGCCAGCACACCTGGCTCCCAACTCTCACTTTTCACTCCTTTTTTTTTGGTGGAGGTATGCTGGCTTGCACTTGCTTGTAAGCCCAGGGGTCAGCCTTGGCTGCTGTTTTTCAGGTGCTGTCCCACTGTTTTCTGAGACGGGACTTCATAACTTGGAGCTAAGCCAGGCTGTCCCGACTGTGAGCCCAAGGGAGCCTCCTGTCTCATTCCCCTGAGCTGGGATTACAGGTGGGCACAAAAGCCTATAGCTTTTTTCCTGTGGCTTCTGGGCATTAAACTTGGCTCTTCCTGCTTGCACAGCCACTTTGCAGATGGAACTGTCTCCCTGGCCTACAGCTCCCGTAGATTAAGGAGCAAACTGTCTGGCAACTGAGCCTTTTCCCTCATTTGACTTTTCTCAGCAGTTGTTTTTTTTTTTTTTTTTGTTCGTTTGTTTTTTGTTTTTTTTTAAACGAGATAGGGTTTCTCTGTATAGCCCTGACTGTCCTGCACTCACTTTGTAGACCAGGCTGGCCTCAAACTCACAGAGATCCACATGCCTCTGCCTCCCTGAGTGCTGGGGTTACAGGTGTGGCTTACTTTTTCCAAACACTTTCAAGCAATCCTCCATCTCCCAGTCCCCTGTGGTGGTCCGCTCATCTGTAGACAGGTTAATTTTCTCTGATGGGCTTTCACGGGAGTTCCCGGACTGACTTTTTGTAGGGAGTCACCATGGCCTCTTAGGTTCCCAACCTTCCCCGAGGCCAGTCCCCAGAGCCCAGGCCCATCGCCCTGTGTCATGTTCTACTGTAGTATACCCCAGAGCAGGCTGAGGCTGCCCAGACTAGCTACCCAGACTTTTCCTGTGTCTGGCCCACAAGGTCATGATCAGGGCAAAGGAGAAAGAAGGGTTATAGGGGTGGGTCTCAGGGGGATGGAGGCTGGATGCAATACCTGGAAAGTTCCAGGAGTCTGTCTGTCTGTCTGTCTGTATGTGTGTGTGAGAGTCTGAGAGGGAGATGTGGGTGTACAGAGGCCAGAGGCTTCATCTTAACCCGAGGAGGCACGGTCTCTCACTGAGACCAGGTTGACTCCTGCAAACTCCAGCAATCCTCCTGTTTCCCCCCTCCCTCCTAGGGTTATAAACCCCTGTGGTCACACCCAGGGTTTGATTTGTTTTAAATACGGGTGGTGGGGATTTGAACTCTGGTCCTCATGATTGTGCAGCAATCTGTTTACCCACTGAGCCATTTTTTTTTTTAAAAGAAAGTTTTATATATAGCCCAGGCCTGCCTAAACTTACCATGTAGCTGGGTATGACCAAGATTATTTATTATTATTATTATTATTATTATTATTATTATTATTATTATTATTATTATTATTGGTTTTTTTCAAGACAGGTTTTCTCTCTGTAGCCCTGGCTGTCCTGGACTCACTTTGTAGACCTTGAACTCACAGAGATTCATCTGCCTCTGCCTCCCTGAGTGCGAGATTATAGGCTTGTACCACCACACCCGGCTTGACCAAGATTTATTTATATCCTTACTTGATGTGTATGTGTTTGCATGTATGTTTGTGTGCACTGTGTATGTGCCTGATACCTTCAGAGGCCAGAGAAGGGCATCAGATCCCCTGGAACTGAAGTTACAGGTGACTGTGCTGGGATGAGTCTGGGCCCTCCACAAGAGCAGCAAGTGTTTTCATTGCTGAGCCATTTTGGACCTTGAACTCTTGATTATAGTCATTTTTCCAGCACGCCCTGTTTTAAGCCGAGCTGGGAATAGCCACTCCACCTGCTGAGCTACACATGCCCCCTTTAGGAATTTTTATGTCCTTGCATGAATTTCATTTTCCTCCTGTTACCAGACCCCCACCTACCCATCTGCCTCACCTTCCTCTTGTGGACTTGACTCCAGCAAACAGGTCAATTTTGAACTCTCTGCTGTTCTTACCACAGGGCCTTTGCACACACTGGGGACTTCCCGAGAAGGCTCTTCCTCCTCCTGGCCAGTTTCTCACCATTTAGTCTCCACCCTTGACTGTTGCCGAGTCCCCTTGCAGCCTTGGGCTGCTGGTGCCTCTCTAACAGGCTCTGCCTCCTCTCAGTGAAAAGCTGGTGGCCACTGGGAAACATGAAGCCTCCAGTGGCTCACCACGAGAGCATTGGGGCCAGTTGGCCCGGTGCTGCTGGTCAGACGTACTGCAGCTGGAAGTCCTCGAGTCCCCGTACTGAACTGGGGCCTGTCCCGTTAAGGGTCGTGGCTCGTTCACTGGGTTCATGTTTATGTAAGCGTTCATCAATGGCTCCAGGCATTCACTGTAGTTGATGGGCTTTGACTTCCCGCCTCGTCCTAGAGAGAGGCTGCTGTCCATAGGGGATCATGGAAACTGGGTGGCAGCGGGTTACTCATGGTTGCACACAGTCCTCTCACCACGCACGCTCACAAGAGAACCAGATAGCATGCGTGAAGGAAGGGAAGGCTTGGCCGGGGTCCGGTGCTTGGCTGGGCTGATAGCTGGGAGAATGCTATGGTTATCCCTGCAAAGATGCTGCGTGGTCAGCTTTTGCAGTGGGAGGGGACAGACACCAGACATGGCCCAAAACCTGCTCTGAGAGGGCAGGCGGGTCTCAGGCCTGACTTGGGCCTGGAATGCCTGTCATTCACCTGAACCCAATCCTGCAAGCCCTCCTTTTTCTATCTGATGTCTAAGGGACAGCAGGGACAGCGTGGGGAAGGTGGGAAGGGCTGGGCCTAAACAAGCTCCAACCCAGTAGTGGCCTCCCAGCCATGTCGGTTAATAGGCCTTCAGCCACCAGCCGCTTGTGGGCAAAAGCTGGAGTCACTGTCCCCCTTGGCTCTGTAGCATCTAGCTTATTGGCCAGGAAGGGATTGGGGTGTCTGGCAGTCCCAGAAGGACCCTGGTGGGTTAAGGGCCCTGGCACTAAACCTGCTGACTGCACCCCTTTGCTCCCTAGAGCCCACCGCAATGACATGGAGACCATCTACCCCTTCCTCTTCCTGGGTTTCATCTACTCATTCCTGGGACCCAACCCTTTGATTGCCTGGATACATTTCCTCGTTGTCCTCACGGCCCGTGTGGTACACACGGTGGCCTACCTTGGCAAGCTGAACCCACGAGTCCGCTCCGGGGCCTACGTCCTGGCCCAGTTCTCCTGTGTCTCTATGGCCCTGCAGATCCTCTGGGAAGTGGCGCACCATCTGTGACCAGCAGCTAAAGCCTCCTCAGCTACCACACTGTGGACAGTCACGGGGCTGGACCTGGGGATGTGGTGTCCCTTCTAGACTAGGGATGGGCTCAGGTCCTGGGTTCCTAGCCACGTAGGTATATGGATCCCGGGCCCCAATGTGCACATGCGTTTCTTAGCCTCTTGGGATCCTGGGTGAAGTGCCCGATTAGAACCACTTACAGATGAGTTCAAGACTGACTGAACATCCTTCACCTCGAGAAATGCCTTAGGCAGCACACTGCACTCCCTCTTGCCCTTAAAACGGAAAGGACGGAGGAATCTCCGACACAGCCATCACTCCACACAGGGCTAAAAATGAAGGCCTCACAGACCTGCCCACTATTCTGACCCAGCCTGAGGAGAGATACCTGGCTGGTGTGTGCCCCAGGAAGTCCTCGCAAGAGGCCCCGAGGTGGCCATCTCCCTATGGAGGTGGGGTACTTGCTGTGTTTCAGAGATGGGTAGGTAAGAGCTTTGCTGTCCCCCACTGGGTCACACCTCCCTGCCCTCTGAGTGCGTGCTTGGGTGGCACAGCTCAGGATGGAGAGTGTTTCCAGCTCAGCCTGCTTGTTCATGGCCTCCGCTCCTCCAAGGACTGCAAGTCGAGGCTGGGCCTTGACCAACTGCTGAAAAGGAACTTTGGGCTTCGTCAGCATCTGTGAGGCTTGAAGATGGATGCCAAATGACTAGCCCAGTGGAAAGCCTCATTTGCGTGTGTGGTGTCCCTCCAGAGTCCTCCTGAGACCTGTTCAGGTTTAGTCATTAAACAGCAATGTGTGACCTGTGAATGCCCTGTGTTCCCTGTTTTTGGAGCTCCTGCTGTCCTAGCTGGCCTGCTGCCTGCCGGGAATTTTTGAGGTTTGGCCTTGGTGTGTTTTGCTTTTGTAAGTCAGGGTCTCACTTAGCCCAAGTTGTCCTCAAACTTACTGTGTAGCCAGGACAACCTTGAGCTAACAGCCTGCTATACCTCCTAAGTGCCGGATTACAGACAGGCCTGCACCACCACAGTGGTGGTTCCTGGGGCCAAGCCAGCACAGGCGGCCTGTTTGTGGAAATCACACTCCAGCTGCTCCAGGAAAGCCCTTCTTCAGCAAGGGGCTCCCTGATAAGATGGTGTTTGGCTTGGGATCCTGTCCTGCCAGGTGACCCTTCCCGCAGCTCTGCCACCTGGTAGGATGCTGCCTTCCCGGTTCTGGTTCTACAGGTGGAGAAGCAGAGAGACTGCCTGAGGGCCCAGGATCTGCCCTAGAACCCGGGACACTCAGGCTCCCAAGCCCTGCCTTCCACCCAAGGCTGCTGCCTTGCCTCCTCACAGCTCTCCGTGGGCCTGCCGCCCCTCTGGCTGGTGAGACCTGTTCTCTAGGGGAAGGGGAGGGGCCTTACTGGAAAGCCCAGCCTGCCCAGGCTTCAGCCCCACACAGCCACCGTGCGCTGGGAGTGGACAGCACTGCCCTCCGGTGGTGAGATGAAATCTTTGCTACCAGAGTGCTCACCTGAGGAAAACAAAAGCGGAAGATGGGGCCCCCATTCTGAGTGGCCACTGTTTGCTGAACGTCAGGCTGGGTGCCGCCTTTCTCTGCCATCGCCCCATACTCACTGTCCCACTTATTACTTAAAATAATTTTAAGAAGGAGGCACTTTTGCATTTTATACAAGATCAGGTGAATTCAGGCAGAAGACTTCGTTTCTGCATTTTCATTTTATGTCCATGGGTGTTTGGTGTATCATATGTGACCTGGTGCCTATGGAGGCCAGAAGAGATTGTATCTGGATTTACAGACAGTTGTGAACTGCCATGTGGATGCTGGCAATGGAACCTGGGTTCTTCAAAGAGCAGCCAGTGCTCTTTACCACTGAGCCGTCTCTCCAGCTCCATTTCGGCATTTCAGATGAGGGACTCAAGGGTTCAGGAAAAAAAAAAGATGACTTGCCCTGAATTCCTGGGCTAGGACAGGAGAGAACTCAGCAAGGTGGGCCCAGGAGGGATATAGGGGCTGGAGAGGCCCAGGCAGGGTGGACGGACGGCTGTCTGTCTCGGTGTTTTCCTCTCTTGAGGAAGGCAGGATTGCGGGAGCGAGTGTTCTAAAGAACCTGGCAGCTGCCTGGTGCGGGAGCATGCCTCACCCACGATGTCTGCGGGTCGTGGGGCCTGTGTGATGGAGCGGACCCCCTACGAGGCCCCGAGGGTCTTCTCATTTGTCCACTCCTGCGGCAGCTCCTTCGTCCTGTCCCCTGGCACTGCAGTGGCGAGGGCAGCATGGCAAGGGACAGGGGCAGCTCGGTGTGGGACAAGAATCTCAGGTCTCTGACCCCTGCTGGGAGATGCAGTGGGGAGGTGAGTCATGCTGACCCGGGCCAGGAAGTGTGAAGTAATTCAAGTGTGCACGCCCTCAACCCAGCACGTGGGAGACAGAGGCAGGTGGATCTCTGAGTTGGAAGCCAGCCTGGTCTACAAAGTGAGACCTTGTCTCAAAAACAAAGGAAAAAAGAACCTTCATTGTAGGAAGTTGGGATTGGCGGCAGGGTAAGAGGACCATTAAGTCAACAGAGCACAGGGTGGGTGGATGGTGGATGCAGACTCACGTGTTTGAATGCTTAGCCCATGCGGAATGCCACTACTAGGAATCATGGCCTTGCTGAAGGAAGTGTGTCACTGTGGAGGGGGGCTTTGAGGTCTCCTATGCACAAGCTAGGTCTAGTATGGCCATCTCCTGCTGCTTGCGAATCAAGATGAAGAACTCCCAGCCACTTCTCCAGCACCAGGTCTGCCTGCATGCCACCACTGTTTCTCGCCATGACAATAATGGACTAATAATAATATGATAATAATAATGAAATAATAATAATGAAACTGTAAGCCAGCCCAGATTAAATGTTTTCCTTTGTAAGAGTTGCTGGGGTCACGGTGTCTCCTCACAGCAATAGAAACCCTAGCTAAGACTTCAGCCAGACAGGACCAGTCCCTCCTGACCCTAGGATCAGACACTGGGAAGGGTATGGCTGGGGTCATGGGGTCCCAGGGTGGAGTGGACTGAGCAGCAGCCTGGAGCCCTAGAGTCCCAGACACAGGAGCTGGGCAAGGGCCCAATGGGCCTCTAGGATCCTGGGGAGCTAGAGCTGTCCCTAGTTGGCGCCCAGTGTCTTGGCATTCATTCAGTCAGCCCTGGTTGTTGAGTAGTTAATTTCCCAGGGTGCACGTCGTCACAGGTTAACCCCTACTGGAATTATAGACTAGTGCCACCATGCCAGCTCATGTATGTTTCCTCCTAGTCTCTTCTTGTAGCCCAGGGTAGCCTGCAACTCACATTGCTTAGGCAGGCTTGGAACTCAGTATAGTCTTGGCCTCAAACTCAAAGCAATCCTCCTGCTTCAACCTTGATAGGACTGCATCTTCATACTACCACACAGGGCTCACACCCTTTTTTTGGTCTCATTAATCCCAGGGCTCAGGAGGTAGAAACAGGAGAATTAGATCTCCAGGGCTGGAGAGTTGGCTCAGAGGTTAAGAGCACTGGCTGCTCTTCCAGAGGTCCTGAGTTAAATTCCCAGCAACCACACGGTGGCTCACAACCATCTACAATGTGATCCGGTGCCCTCTTTTGGCCTGCAGGTGTACACGCAGGCAGAAATCTTAAAAAATAAAATAAAATAAAATGTTTGAGAGGACCGTGAGCTGTGTAAGACTTTGTCTCAAAATCAAACAGCCATGGTGGCATATACCTTTAATCCCAGCACTCAGAAAACAGAAATATAACACACACTCTGTAAAACAGTGGGGTCCACTGTCCACTGTACTACCCTTAAAGGGCACGCTCCCTTTGGCGTTATTTCCCTTCTTCTAGGAGACGCTATGTTTGGCCAGGCATGCAATGCTGGTAGTTTTTCCTCGAGTTTGCACCAGCCCCGGAGTTGACAAGCTTCAGTTTGCACGATGGAATGAGGAAAATAAAAAGGAGTCCCGTAGGTTGCTTGTTGCTGTTTTTGTCAAGTTGACTAAAAGTGAGGGTCGTCTGGGGAGAGGGAGCGTTAGGTTGGCCTGTAAGCAGTTTTCTTGATTGCTGATTGGCACTGGAGGGCTTGGCACACTGTGGGCAGTGGCACCCATGGGCAGGTAGGTGGTCCTGGGCTGTATTTGAAGGAAAACTGAGCAAGCCCTGGGGAGCGCACCAACAGGCAGCATCCCCCGTGGCCTGGGCATCAGCTCCTGCCTCAAGGCTCCTGCCTGGAGCTCTTGCTCCGATTTCCCTTCTTGATGGAGCAGGAGCTGGAAGGGGAAGTAAACCCTTTTCTCCCCAGGTCACAGTGTTTATCACAAGGGGAAAAAAAGCAAAACTGAGCAGTTTCTTTCTCTGTTTAGCAGAGACTTTCAGCCCGGAATCATTTCTGTCTTTTGTTTGTGTTCTTATTTGTTGACAGTCTAGAACTTGGCTGTTTGTTTATACACACTCTTTTATCAACTTTTTAAAAATGAAAATTAACTTTGATCACATTCAATCTCTTACTGCCCCCTTACCTCTTCCCACACCTTCCTGCTCTCTTCTTCGCATCCTCCTCCTCCTCGTCTTCACAGAAACATCCCCACTCCCAGAGCAGATGTGATTAGCAAAGCTCATTTCCTTACCCACCCTCCTTTTAAGACAGGGACTCTTTATGTAGCCTCACTGGCTTGAAACTCACTCTTTAGACCAGGCTGGCCTTGAGCTCACAGAGATCCGCCTGCCTCTGCCTCCCACGTGCTGGGATTAAAGGCCTGGATTACCATGCCTGGCTTGAATATTTTTTCAATGTTTATTTATGTCATTTTGGGGGGATTTTTATTTTGTGTTTGCCTGTACATGTGTGCATGCACTGCCCACAGAGGCCAGAAGAGAGCAACCAAATGAGCTCTCCTTGTGACCCAGGACTGGAGTCCCAGTTGTGAGCTGCCATGTGGATGCTGGGAACTGAATCCAGGTCCTCTTGAAGAGCAGCCGGTACTCTTAAGCCTTTCTCTCCAGCCCATAAAGACGTGTGTGTGTGTGTGAGAGAGAGAGAGAGAGAGAGAGAGTGCGCGCATCTGCATCTGAGAGCATTGGATCTGCCAGTGCTGGACCAGAACTCAGGTCCCTTGCGAGAGCAGCCCACACTCTTAACTGCTGCAGTCTCTCCAGCCCACAGAGGGAGTATTTTGACTTCCTCAATGTCTAACCCCAGCTACACAGTAAAACTACCGGAGAACACGTGGCTCAGTTGGTAGAGCTTGCCCAGCTAGCATGCACAGAGCAGGTTCCATCCCAGAACCACATGGACCAGTTGTGATGGGCTCGAAGCGCCCTGTTCACGGCCCTGAGCCACGAGTAGTGGTCTTTTGCTGGTTTTTTGAGACCCCTCCCCTCCTTTGTCTGCTATAAGAAATAAAAGCAGACGCAGTGCCCTCCTCCCTTGGTCAAATAGACAAAGCCAGGGGAGAATGGCGTCCAAGCCCTCCTGGACCTCAGGTGCCTGGCTTTGTGGAAAGACGATAGCCCGGGCCGCGTGCCCAGGAAGCGGCTCACACAGACCTGCAGCCAGGCACAGCGGGGACAGCAGTGTTTAAATAACTTCAGCTCTGCAGAGAGGGCGGCATGCCCCTCCCTCGGCCTCCCAGAGCCGCATGTGCAAACTATTAAGTTGGTTTATTTTTTCTAGAGTGCCAGAATGGAAGCGACACTGACATCCTCATGGCCATCCGTGGGAACAGGGCCTCCAGCATTTTCCAACGCTGGCATTTCTGGGGCCCACCTTCCAGGCCCCCACTCAGCGGGACCCCATGTCTACAGGAGAGTCCGGCCTTCAGCTCTTTGTGGTACTTGGTCTCTGGGCACCATAAAGTGGAGAGTTGGCAGGGCTGGGGGTAGGGTGGGGTGGAGAGATGGTGCAGCAGCTGAGGACATTTGCTGCTCTTGCAGAGGACGCACGTCCCCAGCCCCCACATCAGGTAGCTGTGACTACCAGCTACCTGTGGCTCCAGTTCCAGCAGATCTACGCCCTCTCCCGGCCTCCACAGGCACCTGAAGCTCCATCCTGGACACAAAGACAAGCAGGCAACATACAACACATATAAATAAGAACCAATTTAAAATGGAAAGATGGGGTGTGCATCTACCTACCGTGTCTACTTTTAGGTGGAGGTGGGAATGGGCCCCAGGGCTCTGCATATGCTAGGCAAGCCATCTGCCAACAGAGCTACACCCCAACCCTTCTTTTTTTTTTTTTTTAATATTTATTTATTTATTATGTATGCAGTGTTCTGCCTGCATGTACACCTGCATGCCAGAAGAGGGCACCGGATCTCATTATAGATGGTTGTAAGCCACCATGTGGTTGCTGGGAATTGAACTCAGGACCTCTGGAGGCGCAGTCAGTGCTCTTAACCTCTGAACCATCTCTCCAGCCCCACCCCAACCTTTCAATACCTTCTAAAGAAACAGATGCCCAGGGGCTGAAGAGATGACTCAAGTCGTTAAAGAGTGCTTGCTGTTCTTTCAGAGGACTGGAGTTTGGTTCCCAGGACCCATATCAGGCAGTTCCCTGCATATAACTCCAAATGCCTGGAAGCTGATGCCCTCTTCTGGCCTCTTTGGGCACTACATGCACACGTGAAATACACACACACACACACACACACACACACACACACACACACACACCAAAACCAAAAATGATGCCCATCTGGGTGTGGTGGGATATGTCCATCACTCAGGAAATGGACTCAGGAGGACCGGGAGTTCAAGGTCACCCTGAGCTACATCATGTCCATTGCTTAAGAATAGCCTGTTTTAGGTTGTTTAAAGTACCGTGCTCCGTGGAACATGAACTGGAGGCACAGATATAGGCAAACAGGCCATTGCACTAACCACATCTAGAGCGGCTGTGCCACCATCCTGAGGGGTCAGTCTAACCTGCCACACCTATGGCGGATCACCATGGGGAGGGCTATTCTGGGACTTCCCTCCTTCTTTCTTTCTGCAGAAAGGCTATACTCTCCCTGGGGTGGTATGGCACGAGGAAGCCTCCACCCACTTTTCTGGCCTGCAGACTCTCCTGTATGCTAGCACATGTCCTCTGTCACCCCACCTGTCTGTGAATGGGGTGAAGGGGTAGGCCTTTCAAGGGCCTCAGCTGTCAGCACTCTGCTAGGAGTTTGCCTATGACCTCAGGGGTGTGTGTGTGTGTGTGTGTGTGTGTGTGTGTGTGTGTGTGTGTGTGTTTAAAGGCTAAAAAATTTTTTTTGATGTGTAAAAATGTGTATCTCTGTGCATGGGCCAAATGAGTGCAGTGCCTACAGAGGCGAGAAAAGGGCATTGGACCTCCTGGAGCTGGAGTTATGGGAGCTGTGAGCAGTTTGCTATGTGTTCAGGTCCCCTGAAGAGCAGCAAGTACCATCTTTCCAGCCATTCAAGGTGTTGTTTTTGTTTGTTTGGCTTGAGGTTTTTTGTTGTTGTTTTGTTTTGGTTTTGTTTTGAGACAGGGTTTCTCTGTGAAGCCTTGGCTGTCCTGGAGCTCTCCTTGTAGACCAGGCTGGCCTTGAACTCACAGAGGCCAGCTTGCCACTGCCTCCCTGAGTGCTGGGATCATGGGTGTGCACCATGCCCGGCTGTGGTGCTTAGTTTTATCAGCTTCAATACACTATGGAATCACCTAGGAAGAAAGTCTCAATTTGAGGGGTTGTCCGGACCATGTCAGCTATGGTAGGCTGTCTGTGGGAGACCGTCTTGATTACCTTAAATGATATGGCGTGCCCACTACGGGCAGTGCCATTCCCCAGGCTTGGGGATCCTTGACTGTGGGAGTGTAGAGACGGGGCTGAGCACTAACGCATGCATGCATTCATTCTCTCTGCTCTTGACGGTGGGTGTGACCAGCTGCTTCAAGATCCTGACACCCTGACTTCTTCACAATGGCAGATGTCGCCTGGAATTATGAGCTAATGTAACACACACACACACACACACACACATCGCTTTCTGCCAGAGTATTTTATCCAGGCATCGGGAATAAAACTAGGGTACCCTCCATGGCCAGATGACCAGAGGGTGCCCAGTGGCAGGAATCCAATCCCAGAGCCGTCCCCACACTCCAGGAATGGGCAACATCCTCCACGCCCCACGATGGAGTGAAAGAGATGTGTCCCGGCCAACCAATCACCCAGAAAGACTCCTCTAGTGTCCCCATGGGGCTCCGGATGGGAAATGCAGGCCAGGGCAGGCCCTGCCTTCTGCCTCTCCTCCCACCTGGGGTCCTGTTGGATGACAGGACCCTGCCTCAGGGACCACGCCTGAGGAACCACACAGGTGTGCCAGCTATATGAGCCAGCCCACGACCAGTGCAGCCTTCAGACTGCTGCCCACCAGGAAGGCTGTGATCCAGGCCAAGCCGCTCCTGGCACCTTCTGGGAGCTCCCATCTTGCCCTTCTGGAGTCTAGAGGAGCTTAAGAAAAAATGGTTTTTATTCCTTAAAGACAAAAGCTTTTTGGTTTTAATACATAAGTGAGCGAGTTCCTTGGCGGACTCCTGCTCCGCCTTCTGGCCAGGCCACCCCTGGGGCCTCCGGCCACAATCTCAGCCACCGCAGGCAGAGAGGTGTTCAGCTGCACTTCCAGTCCCCAGCAGGCCTCTGGAACTCAGGAAGCTGGACTGGAGAGAAGGCACGGGAGAGCTGCCCATTCTGCCTGGGGCCAGGGACAGACAAGGCCACTTCCTTTGCTGCTGTCTGTCATTGGGCCAGGGAGGAGGCTGGGCCCAGGGCACACTGTCAGTTCACTGTGGGCACCTGGCTGTGGTGTAGGCTGAACTCCTTGGCCTTAAGGCGTAGGCTGGCGATGCTGTTGGCCATGTTGACCCCAGGAGTTGCAGGACTTGAACTTCCAGGGCTGTAAGGAGGCACAGAGCTGCAGAGACAGGAAAGAGAGGATGCCATTGGCGCACTCTGATAAGCTCAGGGTGGCCCCGGCCAGGGTGGCAGGACTGGGGAGGAGGCAAGCAGCTGGGTGAGAGCAGCCTTGCCAGCCCGATGGCGTGGCTCCCACGCTATAATCCCAAAACCTCTGATGCTGAGGCAGGAGGATGCCCTAGGCTACAGTGTGGGACCTTCGCCTTTTACTTGTTGGCATTCCTCTCTGGATCATGACCCTCCTAAGAGTGGGACAGGGCCCTGTCCCCTAGCACTGCTCTGTGCCTAAGTGCTTCTGGGTGAGGATAGGCCAGGGAAGGAGGCTGGAGACCCAGAGGCCCTTCCAACTGATCCACCCAGTACCCCCTCCTAGAGGCCCATGGCTTCTGTAGAGCCTGCTACAGGGGTGAGGAGAGGGAACCCCTGGAGCTATAGGATATGATGGCCACCTTCCCCCACTTCCCACCTGGCCATCGTGGGGGGAGCTATTCTTTTGAAAAGATTTAGCTTACTTCCTATTTATGTGTGTGAATGTTTGCCTGCATGGTATGAATGTCAGCACACCACAGGAGTGCCTGGTCCTTGTGGAGTCCAAAAGAGGGTGTCGGATCCCTTGGACCTAGAGTTACAGACAGTTGTGAGCTGCCATGTAAGTGCTGGGAATTGAACCCAGGGCCTCTGCAAGAGCAGTCAGTGCTCTTAACCTCTGGGCCATCTTTCCAGCCCAAGGAAGAAGTTTTTTATTCCATCCATCCATCCATCCATCCATCCATCCATCCATCCATCCATCCATGTTGGAATATGGACTCTCAGTGCTCGCAGACTCTGTTTTTTGCGTGAAGGCCACGTGGACACAGGGCACTTCGTCTAGCTTGAGACTTCTTGCAGCCTTCTAGCTACCTCAGGGTGGAGCCCACTTTGCTCTCCTCCAGGCAGGCCTGGCTTCTCCCCTCTCCACATGCATATCAGTGCTCATGTGGACACACGCATGCTTATGATCCTGTGCTCTTAAACAGCCACACGCACTGCCGTGTATACACACACTCATCCACACACCATCCAAGCTCTTGCTGGAGAGGTGGCCTTCATGGGGGTCCAGCTGTCCCTGCTGATCCAACAGAGCCCCCATTCTCACCTGTAGGGGGACGATGCTGGCCAAGATAGATAATCCGGGTTCAGCGCAGTAGGCCGGGGAGCCACGGGCTGCTCGATGGCAGCCTCCTGGCCATAGGACTTGAGCAGCGAGGCAGAGCGGGTAGCCAGCATGGCTCGTTCATTCCGGCGAAACTTGGCACGGCGATTCTGGAACCAGACCTGAGAGGGAGGGTGCGGCTGGCAGGGTCTGGCAGACTTTGAGAGGATCTACTATGGCCCTGTGGATCTGGGCACATGCTGGTGCTGCCCCAGACCTGAGCTGGTGGCTTCTGACCCTCTGGGAATGACTGACAGCACCTGCGTTACATGCTGGGAAGCAGGACCCGTGAAAAATGGCCGGGTGAGCCCTCGGCGCCGGTGAGTACAAGGGCAGCCGGCACCCAGGGCAGAGCATTCCTAAAAGCACTGCAGGAAGCACTCTCAGCTCCTATCTGTGCACGTGTGTGGTATGTACATGTGCATGTATCCATGTGCATGTACTCACATACATGGGTAGGTGGAGGTCAGAATTAGGTGTTCTTGTTTGTTTACCGAGAATCTCTGAGCCGGGAGCTTGGCTGTCCTAGACTGGCTGCCGATGATCCCCTTCCCCGCACTGCCTGTCTCCGGGTCAGCGGTGGCCACCCGCCTGGATGTGAGCCCTCTGGGAGGACCCCACTTACCTGGACACGCGCCTCACTGAGGTTGACGCGGCGGGCTAGCTCTTCGCGCACAAAGGCGTCGGGGTAGTGCGTGCGCTCGAACACACGCTCCAGTGCCTGCAGCTGGCTGCTGTTGAAGGTGGTTCGGTTCCGACGCTGTTTCTTCTTTCGTTTGGTGGCGCTGCCACGGCCGGGGCTGGGACAGTCGCCTGAGGAAAGATGGAGGGTCAGCAGGGTGGATGCACTGTGCACTATGTCACACGAGGTCCCTGTGGCCCTGTCCTAGGACATCCATAGTATCAGCCCTCTACTCCTCTGACACTGGCTTTCCCGAGCCTCCTTCTGTAGGTTGCCTCGGACCTCAGGGTTGGAACATGTCCTCTTAACTCACCTGCTGCCTTCTGCCTACATCTGTTCATTTCTCACCCACCTGTCAACTTATCTATCCATCCAAATATCCATCTACCCATCAACCCATCTGCACATCCATCTAACCACCCACCTATCAATCCATCCATCCATCCACCTATCCATTCATCCATCTATCCACCTCTCCATATAGCCATCTATCCATTATCTGCTCATGCATCTGTCCATCCACACATTCGCTTCTCCATCTGTCCATCCATCCATCCATCCATTTACTGCCCATATATCCATCCATCTATCCTTTGTTCATTTATTTGAGACAGTGTCTCTCCAAACTACAGCCACACAGACTTGGTGGCTGGCAATTCCCAGGATCTGCCTGTCTCTACCCTTCACTCCTGTGCTGCCATTATAGGTGCCTGGCTTTTCACATGGGGGCTGGGGATTTGAACTCAGGTCCTCATGCTTGCAGAGCAAGCATTCTGCCCACTAAAATGTATGCTTTAATAGCAAGAAACATCATTTGCCATGATGCCACATCCAGCCGACACAGGAGGATGTGAAGCAGAGCAAAGGCCCCGTGTTGCCCAGTCCCACAAAATACACAATTTAAGAGCCAGCAAGCAATCTGCTGTGCCATGCACACTGGGGCTCTGAGTGGTCTGTGTTATTTACTAATATTCTGGAGCCTTCCATCTGAGCTCTGCACACATCTTAACTCCGTGTTGTCTCTTGTTCCTTTTCTAATCACTTTTTGCTCTATTCCCTTAGTATTGTTTTTTCCAGTGTAATACAATATGTGTAGTGTTTTCTCTCATCTAAGGAACATGTCTGCATGATTCATGTTTTCTCCCTCGTACCAAGCCTTCCTGGGGCTCACTTATTCAGTCTGTGAACGGAACCTGCCTGCTCCTCGTCACAGCAGCGCAGCAAGCCGCACTGACTCCGTGCACAACTGTGCCACAGTTGGTTCACAGGGTCCTTGTGATGGACAGCTGGTGCGTTTCCAATCTTTTGGAGCTAAAATATCAAAACAAATTGCCCCCATGTAAACAGGAGTTTCCGTTTTTTGCTGTGCACACTTGCTGCAGATTCCTATTGGTGGGAATTCTGCTGATGAGTAAGAAGAGCAGGGCCAGCAAGATAGCTCAGCGGCTAAGGGAACCTACAGAAAAACCTGGGTTCAGTCCCTAGAACCACACGGACACATGCTTCCCCCAACAACATACACACGCTCACAATTTAAATAAATAAACATGTAAACTCTTTTTTTTTTTTTTTTTTTCCTTGAGACAGGGTCTGTCTGTCTGTCTGGCCTGGAACTCAATATGTAGACCAGGCTGGCCTGGAACTCCCAGAGATCCTCAGGCCTCTGCCTCCTGAGGGTTGGGATTAAAGATGCTGGAAGCATGCCACCACACCAGGCCCCTAACCCCACTTTTAATTTATTTACTCATTTACTTATTTTCAACCCTGGGGATGGAACCAGGGCCACAGAGGTTGGGCAAGCATGCTACCACTGAGCTACAGCCTGGCCCTGCAGACAGTTTGGTTTATTGTGTGCTGTTAGGACTAACAGTAAGAGTTAAGAGACCCTCAGTCAGTGGACTCCAGCAGCCAGGCCAGCGTGCCCCACTCATCCCCACCCTCACCTCCACATCCAGGCATCGGCTGTTCCAAAATGCCAGCAGCGGCAGAGCAGATGAGCTGATGCTTACACTCAAGAGTTTCCCCTCTTTGGGAAATACTTGCAAACATGAGCCGAATGTAAGGAGGGAGGTAGAGGCTGGGAACGCAGTATGGCTGGTGCAAGCTGGCCTTGTCACCTGGTCCCCCTCCCCCTGCTTCCTTGTCACTCCACACCCCTGTCTGGTCTTAGGAGAAAAGGCTAAGATGGATGAGTGTGCCTAGTGCCTAGGAATGTCCCTACCCCCCCCCCCCGTCCCAACCCCAACGCCCCACACCCCTTAATGGGAAAGAAATCCTAAACCAAAATAACTAAGGCTGGGTGTTGAAAGTCAGGTGGTGAACAAGAGCCCAAAAGGAGAGATGGAAGTTTCTGGAACATGAGCCACCCCAAGAGCTGACTTCTGCCCTCCTTCAGGCAATGCCACTTGGGCACACACCCAATGCAGGAGGCATCTCAGCCAAAAAAGGAGAGTGTTTCGGGAAGTTTCTGAGCAATTGGAAACTGGGGGTGTTTAAATGAAAACCATTTTTGCAGGCTTCGCCTCACTGAGTGGCTGTGGAAAGAAACACTGAAACCTGGGGCCAGATAGGCTGATGGGGACTTACAGCAAGGACTCTCAAAGCTTAGGCTCCTTCTCCATGCCAGCAAGGGTCCAACAAGGGTCCACAAAGGGGCTTTAGCCATCGCCCTTCAGGATCATGACAGCCAGATAGTTGAATGCAGAACACTCCAGCAAAACCAGTCTGGGCAAGAAATGATCCTGCAGCCCCCCACGAAAGCCCAGCATGGCTGTGAGGTGCTAAGCCACTTCACATGGAGAAACCAAAGCTCTAGGCTCTCTCTCTCAAGGCTGTACAGTTGGGGTTGGGACCGTTGTCTGCTGAAAGGCTCAGGAGCTCCATCCCTCTGTGGTCCCTTCCCACAGCCACCTCACTCCCAAGCTTGGTGACACTGTCTGTCCCAGCTCTCAGAGCCCACAATGATGAGCCTCCAGCCCCCACCTCAACCAGAGAGCAAAGGTGTCCAAAGCCTCCACGACAGACCCAAGCAGTGTCTTGTCCCTCAAGGAAGTCCCCATAATGGGAGCTTGCAGACAGTGGACAAAAGTTGGTGTGAGCAAGAGCAAGAACACAGACAGCCTTGCTCAACAAATGATCCCCCCTGCTCTGTGTGATGGCCTGGTCCTTTGGTCCTCTCCAGGACAGTGATGGATGCGTGGAGGACTCAGCCACTGCAGAGCCCAGGCAGCAGCCCCCAGGAGGGCTGCCTGCTTGTCACAGGTTCCTGTTCTGTCCCTGAGAACAGAGATTCCCTCTGGACTCCAAGCTTGGCTTCAAGTATTTGGAAAATAAATAAATGCTCTCCAAGCCCCAGGCCACTGGCGTGCAGGTCCTGTCTTATCCCAGTGCTTCCCTTGGCTGGTGCTCACTGGGTGGGCTGCCCCCCACCCCAGAGCTGTGGGCACTCTCCTTTGGTTCTAGGACCTCTCTCTGCTTCCCCACATATTAAGTACAAAGTCAGTGGCTGAGCCTGTCATTAACGTGATTAGCAAGCTTAAAGATCATTGAGAAAGACCTCAAATGTAAAGCCAGCTACAGAGTGAGTTTAAGATCAGCTCAGGCAAGTTTGTGAGAAGCGGACTCTCAAGGAAAAATAAAGATGAGGTAAAAATAAGACTCCATGGTAGAGTGTGTGCATGAATGTGGCCCTGGTTCCACCCCCAGAACAACAACAACAACAACAACAAAAACAACAAAAAGAAACTAAAGGAGCGTATGAACAGAAAACCTACAACGCCCGAACCAGCCCTGCTGCTCTGCTGCCCTGATGAGGCTGGGTCATAACCCTGAGACGGAGGGGCCTGCTGTGGCTTTTGGTCTCTTATAACTGAAGTGACACTGTTCCCAATAACAAAGTGCCGGCACAGATACTATTATTTTGGTCGACTGACCCAAAGATATTTAAAAGCCTTCCTCGCTGCCAAACATTCAAGTCTTCCCCTCTCCATGGTTTTTCTTATTCCGTGTAATTTAAGGGTCTAAATAGCCTGCAGGGAATTAGCTGAGAATTCTTCAGAAGACAAATAAACTCAGCCTGTCCACCCTGCCTTTCTCAAGCACTGCGGACACTGCGAGCAGTCATTTGTGCCTGACCCCTGGGCTGTGGCGAGCTCCAACCCAAATAAATAACTTTTATTAATTAGCATTCATTCTGACCAAATAAGCTCCATTCCCCGTGAGCTCTGCCAACATGATCGGAAAAATAAACCATTGGTCCCTGGGACCTTGACTCGGATTTAACAAATTAACACGAGTCCCTTCTCAGGGGAGGGGGAGGCTAAAAGAACAGTATGTATTACGACCAAGGACAGAGCAGGCAGGGACTGGGGGTGGCACAGAGTCTGGGACCTGCTAAGGCTTCAGGAGCCCTTGGTAGAGACATGGGTTCTTCTGAAGGGCCCCTAGAGAAGAAAGTCCCATCTTTCACCCTGGGTGCTACAGGTCCGGCCAGAAGAGGAGAACAATGGCGGGGGGGGGGGGGCTGGCGTGGCTCAGTGGCAGTGTTGCTTGGCACAGGTGAAGCCCTGGGGTCTGCCCCCACCATCACTTAAATCAGGTGTGACTGTGCACACCAGCCATCCCAGCACCAGAAAAGTAGATTGGAAGATCAGAAGTTCAAAGTCATCCTAGGCTACAGAGTGAACTTGGGATCAGCCTGGTCTACATGAGTCTTTGACTCAAAAAATTAGGAAAAAAAAAACAAAAAACAAAAAAAGAAAAAAAAAAAACAAGAGTGAGAGTAGATCGAACTGTTGACCAAGGAGTGCGGGGTAGCCTCGCCTAGGTCTCAGGCCCATCACTAGCAGTATGGTTCGGCCATGCATGCCCTTCAACCGCTCCCACAGTGGAATAGCAGGTCACCTCCTTTAACCTCGCACTGGCCCTTCACTGGTGGCTCTCGGCACAATCTTACGTGTGGGGAAACTGAGGCACGGTAGGTTAAGCCACAGGCCAAAAGCACACGGCTAGTTAATGAGCTAGGGTTCCAACTCAGGGATCAGCTCAAAGACCAGGGTCTTAACAGTCTCCAGAGGTGGTTGCGTATGACTGCCTGGGCAAGATGGCAGCCCCGAGCGCCCAGAAGCCTCCC